TGTTACGTTATAGAGAAAGAGCAACATGGCCCATCTAGAAGCCGTTTTGGTGTGTAGTTGGCTAGGCATCCCGGCAGGCTTTCCCAGTCTTGCTGAGCGAAGCCTGAGACCACAACTAGGAGGAAACATATTCAATAGCTCAGAACTAGTAAGGGAAAAGGGGTTACTGAAAATCGTACCAGAAGTCTCTGGTGGACTTGGGAGGGGGAGGGAATAATCCTGTTGTCTTTATCCTTGTTCCGCAATTTCTTCCTTATTTGCTTAGCTGTGTAACTACGTGAACAGAAGAATGGAAGTCAGCTCACAGCAAGGATTTCTCAGCCTTTTGGCTAGTATAGCCGCCAGCCCGCCTCTTCTCATTTTGGCTTGTCTTCCTTGGAGCGATCTCCTTTCTTGCAACTATTTTAGTTTTAACCCAGGTAGTGGCAGTGGGAACGGCTAGGTGTCACGTGAACCAGGAGCTTTTTATGAGGAGTAAGAGTGAAGTTTTGAGGATCTGCAGCATTCGCCTTTGTGGCCATAATTAGAGTTCGTTATCCCCTCGCCCTGCTAGAGGAACTGATTTGTTGTGAGCTTTTTGAACCCTGCTGTGATCCATGGTTTGAGAAATACCAAACTGGGACTTCAACTTGATGAATTCATGAATGCGTGCATCATAAATAAACAGCTGGACAAGAGTTTATTCTTTAAATAGGAGGAAAAAAAAGTCCCTAAAAGCTAATTTTGGCTGTAGATTGCTGAACGAGAAGTCCCCGCAAGGCAGCAGGCACTTCATAGCTAAGTTAGTTCAATGGTGAACCCTGACGTTGCCAGAGCAAGCATGACAAGAGGCAGTATAGAGCGTCCGTATTTGAGTGTTTGGGTGCAGGTGAGCAGTTATAGCTTCCCAGCTAACCAGATCACAAGTGTCAGGGTAGTTTTGTTCTTGTTTTGGGGGAGCTGTGGTAGTAAAGAAGAAACAAACACAAAAAAGTGGGCATTCCAACATTTCCTGGAGAGTTAGATGACCAGCGGCAAAAAGCACGACTGCTATTTGTAGCTATCAATTTATATCTGTCATTTTAAATGATTTATAGATATGCCTCCAACATTACCTGGACCTTCAGAAATCCTCGAGTGTTTGTGCCCGTGGATTTGCTTTTAGGACAGTATCTGTTATCGTGTTAACCTCTTCCTTTTAACATTGCTTAAAAAAAAAAAAAGCTTATGTTGAAAACTTGGGAAGATGTGCATCTAACTATCATAATTAAAAAGTCTGGTACTGAAATCAGTCTGCATCATACCGAAAATTAATTCTAGAGTGCCATCTCTAATGATGGGGGAATACTTCTTGCGTGATTAGATAGCTTCAGGCACAGAGGAAAAACCCTTTAATGAGCTTGGAAAAGATAAGTTGCTGTGTCTGAGTCCTTGCGAGGTACTTACTTTGACGGAGTAGGGCACTCAGTCAAGGTACTACCGACTTTGGCTGTTGGTGCAGCTAATGCTGAAACAGATCTGTTGTGGAAAATTTTCAGGGAGTGACTTTCCTTTTAAATTATTTAAAAAAAAAAAAAAAAGAAGAAGAGTAAATTATTGCATTAGTTCAAGTGTCTTTCCTGATGTTAATAATTAAATGTGTTACTGTACCTCTGAGTATCAAAATTACCTCTTCTAGCAGTGACGGCTAAACAGTCTTCTATTTTGAGAATGCGTGAACAAAAGTCCTGGTTATTAATATTATTTGTTTGCTAACAGTGAAACATACTGATTTCAGAGATGGTGACATACTGATTTCAGAGATGGTGTTGGCCATTCAAGGGAAGCCTATCTGTTAATGTTTTTATCCCACCATATGCTTCCCATTCGTGTTGTCGTCTTTATCCCAAATTGTGTGACCCCATTAGTGGCGTTTGTCAGTCCTCACAAGCTCTTCAAATTTGGACTATTTTAAGAATTCAAATAAAGAGTAGCCTTTTAAGTTTTTTTTTTTTTTAATAACATAAGGGCAAACTAAGGATCCCTATAAATTTACAGCTTTCTATCAAGTTTTATGTGCACTACTTAAAACATAACTCGGTTGGAAATATTTCATTCAGTAATCATTGCCACTTAAAGGAATATATATCCTTTATATGGGCTAGGCATGAAAGGTTCTGAAGGAAAGAAGGGTGCCTTTGGACTGGCTAGATTAGATGCATGGGCTTGCATTACAATATGTTTTGTGGACTGAGTAGGTATAACAGTGAGTTTTACAAATACCTTCAGTCAACCTCGTGTGACAGACTTGGTCTTTAGCATTTTTGAGGAAGTCTGATAATGCAAACATGCTGCTAGGTCCTTTTTTATGTAGGTGTGCATACCTGGAAGGAGCAGCAATAGCTGTGCCTATTTTTCGTGACCATTATGCACATCACAGTTTACTTTTTGCCTGTATTCTCCGTGAACAGAGAAGAGAGAAATAGAGGCTCGTAAGAGCAACAGAGAAGAAAGATGATAGTCACCAGATTTAAGAAACCTCTGGATCGAGTACCTGAAAGGAGTTAAGGGAAAATAAAGGAACTTTGGAGACATCCCTCTCCTGGAATACACTGCCAAGACATCCGCTTTTCTGTCAAGGGCAGAGTCCACCAGATTTGAGGGATTTGTTGGCCATGCGACCTGCAAGAGCCATCACTGAGAGAGAAGGGAAGGAGGCAGGGTCTGCCGCCCCAAGGGCCGTCGGGGAGAGGGCCGCCCCGGAGCTGGCGTTGCACACCCGCTAATGCCGCGGGTTCTCTGCCTTTCCAGGTGGGCGGCTTTAAATGTCGCTAAGCATGTCACCGTGTCAGCCAAACGTCACCACAGTGACCTCCGCTGATCATGAGGTCATGTAATGCTAGGAAAGTAAGCGAGCAAAAAGATAATGATATCTTGGCCCCTGACTGTATGCTGGATCCATTACTGCTGCAGGGAGGTACAAGAGCGATTAAAAGATGGGAAAGAATGTAGGATTTCAGGCAAAGGCATCTTAACCTGGTGCGGGATAAGGTTGCTGTAAACAGCTGTACTGTGCTCTCTTTGCAAAGCCAGAATCTCTCGTATATGTTTGCTCTGTAGCGGCATGTTGCCTAGTGTTTTTGCTGGGTGCCAGCACGAGCAGTGACAGTGGTAGGAGCTGCCAGTTACTGATACAAAGTGCCAGCTCCTGGGCTGTGTATAATGTCGGTCCAACACATTTGTCTAATACTGTACTACCGAATACAGCTTGGGAATCCCTTTTCCAGGTGATTCTGACCTGCTAGGAGCAGAGAATTAATCCTAGCCTGAGCAAGGCAAGCAGGAGCAGGAAAAAAAAATACCCTGGATGATTTTCAGTATGCTCTGGGAAGTATTGTGGCTTGGAAGCATTTCAGGTGCGGGATACTAGAAATTATACGTTAAGCCACCATACCTCAGGGAGCCACACATCTCGCTTGATTGGAAGTAGGTGCTAGTTCTCAGGGGCGCGATGCAGCAAGTGGAAGCATCGGCCTCCTGGCAGCATCTCTGGACCATCAAGGTTTGACGTATCCCACGCTGAAGGTTATTGTGTAGTTACTGTTCTGAAGTCAAATTACTTAAAAAGCCTTCTGTATTTCATACTTACTGCACGGAGGAAAAAAAAAAAAAAGTGAAAGAAAAAGGCAGTTGACAAAGAGAAGCTTGTCTGTCATCTGACCAAACCCAGTTTTGTTTGGAGGAATCATTAGTAACTATTTCAAGTAATTCTACTTATTTAATCCTTTCAGTAAGTTTATGGTGTTCATCCGTTTCCATACTATGTAAGATACCTAATTTTCCAGTATTTTGGCCACTTGTTTGCGTTGCTGCAAGGGATGACGTTTATTTACTGCCTCAGGAGCTGGTCATTTCACGCGTGGATGGATACATTCATGGAGTTTTGAGAGAGACTTCTTCAGTCACTGCCCCAGCCCTGCTAAGATTTGTTTCTTCTGTCCAAGCAATAGATTACCTTTATTGATGGAGAGAAAGCCTTATTGGCTGCTTTGTGCTTAAAGAATGTAAAAGATAATTTACTTTCTCATTTTTCTAATCTAATGTGCAGTGAAAATTTTTTTTACCCACAAGATCCTTATTCTTTCTTGTGAATTCATTTTTGAAGCCGTCCTGAATAACGTGTCCTTCACAAATCTGTGAGCACAATGATGGGGGAAATACACGTATTAGTCTATCTGCTTGTAGCTGTAGCCATCTTTCAGTATTTGTATTTCTGTAGTATAATGCTTTTGGCATCCCAACTGTCTATAAGCAGACACCTCAATAGGCCCCCCTCCCCCAAAGCCGTTAAAAATGGCCTGTTTATAAAGCAGCATTGATCTGGAGAGAGGGGTGTTAACCAATTCCTACGTTGTTTTATTATATGCAACTCTGTAATGTCCTTATGTGTAAATAAACAACAAATGCATGTTCTTCAAAACATAGTTGATGGGCTATGTTTTTTAATCTCATCAGGAATAAAGTTGCAATATTCATGGTCTCGAATTAATTCGATGATTAATTTACTCTTAAACACTGATCCGCCGAATGCTTTCCAGGACTCGGTTAGCATTACATAGATTAAGTGATGGCGGTAGCTGAAGGGGAAAAGGAGACGATCGTCTAGGTCCTTCGCTGTACTGCCTGTAATTTCAGTTCTCAGAAAGTTTTAGTAGAAAATGTTAATTTGAGTTTGCAGTGAAAATGAACTGCATTTCTGAAAATTTGGATCTTGTTTTCCCTAGTTTAATAAGAAATTTTATGCTTTTAATTTGAAACCAATGGTCACTTTTATTTTTCAGCAAACCGTACGCGGAAGTGGATTCCGGAGTCAGTGTAGAAACTGATTTAGCCTGTGTTAGTGCAGTACTGTTTTTGTCCCCATGAAATAAACCTTTCTTAAATCGTTTAGAGGAGAAGCCATTTTAATAGGATTCCTTTTTGTTGAATCTGATTTTGTATATTCAGTAGAACTGACAATTTTACTTTTTTATTTGTTTTAGAAAACAGCGGTGCCATTTTTCTGAGTTTGTCAAAACACAGCTCTAGCTGTTGCAAGCAAATGAGAGTTGAAGGTCAGAGTGTCAATTCTTCTGGAGTTACGACGCGTTTTTAATCATCTTACGGCATCTAGACTCACAACAGGCGAAACGTAGCGGAGGAGGAGGTAAGTCAAGATGCTATGAAGGAAAAATATAACTATTGCCAGACAGTGAGCATCCGTTTTAGATTCACTTTAGGGTGCTTTTTGTTATCGGTCTTTTTTTTTTTTTTTTGGCACTTAAATCAGAGTAGATTAAAAAGTAAAACATGTCAGATAGTGAGGCCGAGAATGCACCCTTTCAAAGGGGGTGATGTCAGGGCAGGAGATTTAATTCCCTTGCTCATGAATGTCGTATCAAGGCAACGCAAGCCTGCATTGAGTGTTGGAGGGTGGAGAGGAGGGCTGTGCTATATTGTGCAAACTGTAGACTTTCTCAGATACTGGAATGCAGCCAGCAGTCTGTGTGGGCCCAAACCTGCGCTACCACAAACATTTACTTTGGTCTTTTGACTCTCGGATATAAAAAAACAAAAACGAAAAAAACCCAAAAAGCAAAAAAACTCCATGCGCGCACACCAAAAACTCTGAAGAACAATTACCCGTCTGTAAGCGGGGAAAGGGTGCATTGCCTCTATTAGTGCGTGAAATCAGATACTGACGCGTAAGCGTGTTTTCTGTTGCTTTGGGTTTGTGATTAAATTGTTACAGCTTATGCACAGTGGTGTACTGAACGAGTTTAAAAATTAGGGTCAGTAGACTAACAGGTAGATAGCCAAAAGATATTAGCTCATGCGTCTGTTATACAAGAAGGGTCAGAAATAGAAATGTATAAGCTAAGGTGTTTGAATTTTTCTGAACTGCAGCAAGAAAGAGAACCTTTGCAAGAGATCTGTCACAGTCAGTCATCCAAAGACAGGTTTTCCTCTTCACCCAGCATGAACTGAAGACTACAGAAGCCAGAAAACGGGGGTCAGGTGTGTGGTAAGTCATAGTAACTTAGCTTTACATAGTGAGGCATGCAGAAAACAGAAGTGGACATATGGGATTGCCTGCTGTCCCTATGTCACGCTCATTCTATGTGGAGCAGTAAATCTACTTAGTGGTTAAGGTCCCCAGGTCAAGGGTGGTGGCAGATGTGGATGGGAGGTGACTGATGGGACTAGGAGGCTTGTTTGACTAAACTGTCGCATAAGGTGCTTCCTACAGCTTAGTATGTAATTACTGGTGTTATTTGTCAGTATCCTACCATCACATTGAGCACTGCGTGGAGAAAATATGTTTAAGTTAGGATAACTGCTCCATATTCCTTTTCCTTTGGTATTCTGCTTTATCTGCTTCCCTTCTGAAGGCTCATGCCCCAGCTGAAACTTCCCTGCTCCGTTTTGTCTGCACATACTACTCCTTCCTCTTCCCTCTGTCAAGAAAGTTTGTGACAGTGAAGAAGTTGAAAATCCAAATTGTAATAATAATTAATGAAACATTTTAAAGAAACTTTGACTTACCAAGATAATTGTAGTTCCGTGTGTTATTACTGGTAGCTAGATCGTGAGTCTTTATCATTTTTGGAACAGGAAGGGCAATTCAAAACGCATCATTTTGTATTAGAGACTGTTGCAGTACAGTTTCATTTCTTTTCTTCCACAGTCTATTTTTTGCCAATAAAAGTCTGCATAATGAATGTATTTTGTGCCCCAGTTTGCAGGTTATCAACCTGCTTATGTCCTAGGATGATGGTAGACTTATTTTAGTTCCGTTGCAATCGAATAAATCACAAATGATAAAACGGAAAAGTAATATATAATGTTATGTACCATAGGGGCAGATCCACTGTTATCTTACTATACAACATGAGGTGCGTTTTAAAGTTTCATCAATTCAGAAGGAAGCGTAGTACGTGCAAACATCTTCTTACTGCACATGCTTGATGTAGTAGAAATGCTACGCTAGAGAGGTTGGTAAGCAGGAGATGGAACTGGCAGTAGCTGAGCTTAAAAGATTTAAAAGTACATTCCCTAGGAGAGCTTCGGGTTGTTTAAAGGGAAAATACGGACCGTTTGCATAATGTAAGAGAACAGAGGGTGGTTCTTTTAGTGAACGTTTTGAACATATGTGAACATAAGCACATTTTGACAGTGAGTATGCTCAATGTCCTGTCATATCCTAGTGGATTTTTTTTTTTCCTTGTGCACGCGTACTGCAACGTATGCTTTTGCTTGTCCGTTTTCCTTCCACGGTGCATGGTATAGAAGACAAAGCATAGTCACCGTTTCGTTTAATCTCAGCCACTTTGTTGAGACAGCTGCCTGGGTTTTTTCTGAACAGCGTCCCTGCTGCTTTTTGGTGTAGGGGCATAGTGTGTAGCGGCATAGCGTAATCGGCGTGGAGCTGCTTGTTCACTTAACGCTCACTAACGTCTTGGCTGCGTCGGTGCCGTTGCTCCTGCTCCTGGCCCCGACTTGGGGTACTGAGGTCAGCGCTGGTGCCCAGAGTAAAGTACGTCTCACCCAAAACGTCTCTTCACACCTGAGATGTTTTGCTTTGCCGATACTGTCTCCTTGGCTCCAAAGCCAGGGCCCCCTTGTGCACTGGGGCCTGTCTAGGGTAAAAGCATGTGGCAGACGGTCACTTCTCTCCCAGTTTCATTGTGTGACAGCTCTTGCATTGGGATGAATGAGTGCTGACATTGCTGTGCATTCATTAGCTTGCAGGCAGTTTACCTCAACGGCTTCTGAGTATTGGGGACCTTGCAGTTGGGATCAGCCTTTGGTACCCTTTTCCCCTCCGAGTTACCTCTTAAAATCCTATTCATGTCGTGACCTGGAGGAAGAGTAACCCAAAACTGAGACGTTGTAACCTAGGGCTTGCAGTTCTAGATGTTACGTTTGCTCTTCTCTGAAAGTCACTGCCTAGCGACCGGTCTGTACTGATATTATGGATGTAATTTGAGGATTTTGTCTCAAACAGAAAACAAAGCAACAATTTCTTAAGTATTTTTTTGTGAATATAATCCTTACGTACAACAGAAATTTGAAAGCGTTCAAAGATGTGTGACTGCAAAATCTTCATAGATTACCTATATAGATATCCATACTATTATCTTTACAAGTCAGCAATTTTCTCTCTTTGTTCCACGTTATTGAAAAGGTCAGTGCAGTATATTTCAGCTGTACAGGCTTAAAGTCCCTTTGACCTGCAATGAAAAACACTTCTGCCAGGCTTCGTTCAGTCTTTGGTAGCACACTGAGCAGATCCCCGAAGACGGTATGAGATGAGCACTCTCTGCTCCTCCTGTGAGAATGGGAACCAGTGTTTGGGAAAAAGTTAGCCTCTCTTTACCTTCTCCTGTCTTTGCCCAAGAAGAGGAGCTGCGGATTCATTGTGTCGGGATGAGCAAGTGGTTCTATCTTGAAGGACCGTCGGAGAAGGAAAAGGTCTAGAAGACCTCCGTGATGCTATGTACTTCTCAGAGTGACTACCCTTTCTCAGCAGGCACAATAGGTGGTGTAGTTCACGCGTTTCCAAGCATTGCTTGCTTTCCTTTGGCTCAGCTGCCCGCTGGTGGTTTTCACATGCATGGCCTTCAGCTCTTTAAGAATTTCGGAGGGCAGGCTTAGCCGTCTGCTTGCAGTCTAGAAGGTGAGGAAGGGCGAAAGGGAATGGGGAAAGCGTGGCAGCATTTGTTGAAACATCCTGCGCTTGTAGCACCAATAGTAGAAATCTCGCATGCTGATTTGTTCAGATTTTCTTAAATGATTCTTTTCCCTCCTTAATGCTTTGATCTCCAGTGAAATAGTTGTCTGCCCTTTCTACTGTCGTCGTTATGCTTCTGAGCGGAATAAATCAAGTGGGTCTAATTTAGCAACAGTACTGCCCTAATGGTGAGGACTGCTATCTACAAAGCTGGGGAAGCTTCCGTGTATCAGTTAAACTTTGTTAAAATCCTGCAGTTTCCTTCATGGTTCTTAAGGGCAATCCCTTCCAGCCCTCTAATACCCCTAGCAAGAAACAACTGGGCAAGCTAGCTTGGGTCACTCTTGTTTCAGCCGTGACATTGCTCCTCTTTATCAGAAAGATGGGACGAGTTGTGGAGAGGAGATCTGACTTCCTACTTCTGAGCACGTGTCCAGGCACCTACGTGAGAAATCTGAAAGTCTTCCAGAAGTCCTGAAGCCTAGGTGATCACGATCACCACTTACTCCCATCTTATATTTTTATGATTAACACCTATGCACCAAATGGAGTGTGGTGTTAGTGGACTGAGTTTCTTTTTAGTTTTGCTGTTACACCCTTGCTAGCAGCATGTAGCACTGTGCTTAGAGGCTTGCTGCTAGTAAGAAAGTTAGCCAGAGATACAAAGTAGGCGGGGGCTTGTTTGTGTTTCCTTAGCGTTAAGGGCGGGTAATAAAGCTAAGTAGCTGAGCATGATTAGAGATACCATACGTAGAGAAATATACTTAATTTACATGTAAATAAATGGAAATGTTTGGAAGAAACAAAAGTAGCAATTCAGCGTTGCAACAGTCTAAGGAAGAAGTGCAAAGCTGGCAGTCTGCCAAGGATCAATTTGTCCCGTACAGAGCAGCATGCCACTTGTGAGCAGTCAAAGCTTGTGCTTTCATATGTTTGTTCTATTAAGTCTGAGTGATAATCTAGTGAGCCACTATTATGAGGACACAATGGAACAACAACTCTATTGCTTCTGAATGCAAGAAAAAATAGAATAAATCCAAGAGGAAGCAAATGGAGTGCTTCACTGAACTTCTATGTGATTAGGACTAATATTTGACTATACCGTCTGGTTTGTAATAGTGATTTTGCTAGTAGAAGTGAACTTCTGCTAGTGTAATGTTTGGAAAGCTTGGTTTTACCACTGCTGTTGCTGACAAAACAAGAAAAAAAAGTTGCATGGTGCAGCAAAAGAGTTGTGCCAATTTCAGACTTTCAGCCTGTTTAACGTTTGTTTCAAACTTACGTTCGTATCAGACACTAATACGAGGACAAAATCAGAGATGATTAGGTGGATTGGTTTGATTGACAGTTGCGAGAGATCCAAAAATAGCTTCAGCCACAGCAAGCAATTTCATTATATAGATGAATAGAATGAGTAGAATAGGCTAACATTGCTAAAAATAAAAGTAAATTCAAAATGTTTTTTGAACTCCCCCAAAATCAAAACCTTTTTTTTTTTAGTGTTACTGTTTTGTTTTTAAATGAATTGTTACTGATAAAGATACGCATTTTCAGTTTGAGAGAAAACGCTGTACAAAAAATATCATCACCAAGGAAGATGATAGGGAAATACCAGTGTCTGTGTTACCCATTGTCTGGTTCCTCGGGATTCTTTTATATGATTTTTTTATTATTATTAGTTGTCAGAAACAACGATAAAGCAGTGATGTACAGCTAAAATGATCGTCATGGGAGTGTTTTTATGATACTTCAAAAATTTGTCATAATCTTACTGTACTTCATTGTCCTCATCTGAAATATGAAAACATATTGCTCTTCTACCCTTCACAGGAACTATGAGAATGAATCCGTGTCTAGTCTGCAGTTTTTGGGGATAGAGAAGTCACACATGCAACTCATAAGCTAACACTTTTGTAAGAATCCCTCTGAATGCGTGCATCCATGCACGCATCCGCACGCATCCGCACGCACGCGCACACAGTGAACGGAGCCTGACAGTGTGAGGAGGGTCTGGATGTGGAGGCATTGCACGTGCATAGCGAGACAGAGATGTACCTGAAAGTCGTCGTTCTTTTCTGGCAATTACAGTAAAACGTTCTCTCTGCTCTCCAGATGGAGTTTGCTGCCGTATGGCCTTTAAGTTTTCCCAAACTATATGTTAGTTTAACTAGGCATTTGGAACTTTTTACAAGAAGGGGAAAAAGTCATGGTGCTTGATGGCAAATTTCCCAAATACCGCATGATGTTTGGCCATTTTAGGAGGCAGTTTATCTTGGCACACCTTATCTCTTATAGACCAACACCTATAAATCGACAGTTATCTGAGGGTCTTTCCAGGAAAGGGCGGCTCTGACTTGCTCGTTTTTGAGGCGTTGCAGTCCGCTCGGTAACTTTTGGGAGTGTGAAGTTCAGGGTAACTCAAGGCACGGCTCTTGTAATGCAGCTGGGTATAAATGTGTACTTTTGGTTTGAGAAGCAGGGAACATATATTGAAAACTTCTCATTAAAACTATGTATCGCTTGCCTAATGTTATTTTGTTAGTGTGCAAGATTATACTTTTCACAGCACGCTACAGCCAGAAGCAAGCCCGCTTATGAAGTCTGTGTTTTGTTCCTGTTTTCTGCATTTGCCGTTTCATTGTGAAACGCTCTTTGCTTACGGACAAACTGGTTCAAGACTGACAGGCAGCAGCCGGCTGTCTTTTTTGGGAAATGTTAAGACACAGTGAGGCTTGTGTACTTCTTGATACATCAAGCGCCAACTATATAGCACCCAGTACTGTATGTGATATAGCAAAGGATAAGCTGAATCACTCAATCACTCTGTCACAGTAATATTTTCTAATTAAATGTTGTGTCAAAATATTCTAAATATAATAGTTCAGTTTTTTGACTGGTTTCTCCTTTATATTTTGTATGTTTGTTTTTAAAAACTGTATTTAAGAGGTCTCACTGGGTTCTCACTAATGAGCAATGCTGTCTGCATACAAATTTGCCTGTCCTTTCTGAAAGATAGATGCTCTCTGTTTCTACATGTAACTGTTTATTAGCTGCGTTTAACTGTTTGTTGTTAGAGAAGACACTTGAAATGTATTATTGCAACTTAATGTAAAACCTAATTAGATGGCAGAGTTTAGCTGAACTTCCCATCTGGCAGGAAAAGATTTGCGCGGCACCACCGCTGCTGTTAAGTTGCTGGGGATGCCTGCGAGGTGGCGGAAGTGGTCAGCTTTAGAAAGCTCCGGTCTGGCGCCCGACCATAGCGGGCGGTGGTGGGCTTCGCTCTGTTCTTCCATAATGAGATCTGCTTTGAGGCAGGTTATTTTTCTGTTCAGTTTTTCAGATAGGTTTTCGGAGGGCGGACCAGAGCAGAGCTGGGAGAGACTTCTTGCTAAATCGATTTGTAAGCTGAAAAGTTTCTTTACGCTCAGGCGGATGGCCTACTTGTAATCATACTTTGTGGAGGAGCCAGCGACCGGCAGGAAGGGGGAGGGGTTGCAGGGCAGCTGTCCTTCCCTCACAGCAGATCAGGGAGCGTCTTACGGAGAGCTGGACCAATCGGAAGGCCCAGTGCTCCCTTGCGGCCGCCTATTTGTCAGGTGCCCTGGAGCACGAGGGTCCCGACCGCGCGGTGGAGCCTGTTTTGGGGACGCCTGGGCGTGGAGGAGCGGGACGGGGTGGCAGGCGTGAGGGTCCTGGGGCGAGGGAAGAGCAGGTGCTCCAGGTGGCTGGAGAGAGTGACGGTCGAGGAGCTCTGGGAGACTGAAGAGGAACCGGTGCGGGCAGGGCAGCAAAATGAGAACCGGTCCTCAACAAGCAGCTGAGACCTGTATTTCAGCTGGGCCCTAAGCCGGGTGACCTGTTGTAACAGGAAGTCGTGACGTGTCTGTGTGTATGGGTAACCGGGAGCACGCTATGATTTCATACTGTGATTCAAAGATAGGAATTTGTTTGCATTCCTCAGTTGTGCTGTGTCCGTGTCACCCTTGACAGGTGATGAAGAAATACCTTCAAGGTATTTATCAGCTCAAATGCAGCAGCTTAGTATTATCGGATGAATACATACTCTTTCTGTATGCTTTAGGTGTGCATGCACAATGCTGTGTATTCATTTGACTTAAAAGTCCCGTTTATAGGTTTGCTTAATAAATGCTTTGTGTAAGAGTAAAAGAAACAAAACCTGTTTCTTATGCAGCTGCTATACTCGGTCTCTTTGTAAATGCAGACATTGCATTTCAGGAGATGAGAGTCTAAGAATACTATGCTGTTCCTACCCTGTCATAGCACTCTTTTTTATTTGGAACAGCAGTCCAAGAGAAAATAAATGTGTGGGAATGTGTAGGGGTCTGTGAGATTAAATAGACCCTCTCTAGCCATAGAAATCCTCATTTTGCATACTTATGTGCCTAGCCTCAAAACTGAGCTGGAGTCGCAGACTTGCTCTTTTTGTGTGGATTTGTACTCTTGCTTAATTCAAACCATCTCAGTTATTCTAACATTAAATAGTGTCTGTGTGCTTACAGATGTATGAAATAATGGAAGAAATAGAATTATGACCGTGATATATTGATGTATTTTTGAGATCATGCACAATCCCACGTAACCATCCCTCTATTCACGCAACGCTTCTTAGATGTATTGAGCCTACTTACTGAAGATATTAAATGTCCCTCATGTCACCATAAAAAAATGTATTTTAAATCATTACGTTTGAGCTGACTTAGTCGAGCTTGCTTTGTTAGTCTTACGGTCAAACGGTTGAAGAAAATCTATGTATGGGAGTATCTTCCCATATGTAACAGCCTGAAGTGTAGGTGGTAGGATTCAGTCAAAGGCATTAGTTGCAAATGAAGCTGATTCTTCATCTAAAAAGCTTTGATTTATAAATATCAGATTCACTTTTCCAAACTCACTGCAATTTATATCAAACAAGGGAATTTTCAAAAAAGAAAATGAAATGCGTTCACACTGTGCACTTGAGGTGAAGCTTTGATGTAGTATTAATCCATAACAATGTCTTCTAGGAAGATGGGGACGTAATTCAGAAGATACGTTTGGAGCAGCTGTCCTTCTGGTTGACAGAAGGACTAGACAAAAAGGTAAGAAATATTTTTCAAAGGAAAATGTATTTTAAATTATATCTTTTTTTTTTCCCTCCTCTGGTGAAGTAATGCAAAAATATGTTATGACTTCGGGTGGAGAACAATTAAGCAGATGCAATTTAAGAGTAACTAGTGTTTTGTAATATTAAATAAAGTTAGTATAATAGTTTTTAAAAATAAGAGTCTCCAGAAATGTAAAGAATGTGTTGTTTCTTCTCATACGCGTGTACAAGAAATAGTTCTTCTACCTGGGTTAGATTTATTATTCTTCATTGATTGCCTCATTCTGTTTGAGGACATTTCTGGCAGTAAAGTAGTAGAGCTGTCACATCTATCATGATGCATCAGAGATCTGTCAGGAGAGTGGCTCTTTTTGAACTTTACTTTTTCAGAAAAATATAGCTGAGCATTACAGGCAGAAGTTTGACATTTTCAAGATGAAAATCAATCTTTTATGTGGTATTTCTCAAACAAGACTTGTGCTGTGATTGCACAAGTAATGGTTTAAGATGTTTGGGGGTGCAGCATGAATAAAATAATTGGGGTAACAGTTTGCCAGATACTTTAACTATAGTGTAAGTTGAAGAAACAGCGATACACGAGGTGCTGAGAGATGAAGCAGATAACAAATCAAACCTTATTCTGCTGCTGTCACAGACGCGAACAAAAGACGTGAGTTTATTTTTAAAGTCGAGGAATAACAAGATCAGATTTAAACAATGTGTTGCAAATTAGAATATCGCACGTAGTAAGGAAGCGGAGTGGATAATAGCAGTTGAACAAAATTTATTGCTGAAAGTATGACAAACAATGAAATCTGTGTATAGGAGGGGAGGTCAAATGAAGCCATCTTGAAGCTGATGGACATTGCAACTTAAAAATTAACGTCAGAAATGGTCAAACACTTTTTTTGATGGTAAAATACCTTGAAACAAGGGGAGCCGACGTAGGCCATTGTCAAACTGACCGTCATCTGGGCTGGTACGTATTCCTAGGGACAAACCGCAAATAAAGAGGGTAGCTATATGTTAACAGGTACAGCTAGAGACAACAGAGATCTAGGGAAAAAAAGGCATCAGGGAGCCGCAAGCAGCCGGACTGGCGCTAAAAGTAAGACCCTAAGAGAACTAAGGTAAAAATTTTTGGTGTGGGTTGCTGCTGAGGGAAAATGCTTGGGAATACTGAACAAAGTGGTGGTCGTCTTCTGTTACTAGTCCTGTTCAGGAGTATAGTCCTCCTGAAAACAACAACAAAAAACTAATCCTCAAAAACTAAAAACAGAAAATTAAGGAAAAGCCGTAAGACTGCTTCACAGAAATGTCTGTTTCAGTTCATAGCTTTCCCCTTCTAAGAGAAACAACCAAGGAAATACGGGAGTATTAGCCATTTTTGTTTTAGAGTGTAACTATGTGGGATGAAGAACTCCCTCCATTTAGGTATTTCTGTATTGAAGATATTCCACTCTCTTGATTTTGCCAGAACTGTTCATTTGTTACAGATACACAGTGTAATTAAAAGAATGTTAAGGTGGTCCAGCACCATTATGATAAGAACGATAGACAAAGTGATGGAAAGCAAAAGTCAGAGGCAGAGTTCAGATTTGCTGTAATCGGTGATAGTTTTCAGGCATGAATTGAGAGAATGTTCTCCAATTGTTATATAAAAAAAAAAAAGATATTTTTAATAATAAAATAAAATTGCTATTAAATAGCATGGAATTGAGGATATCACAGAAGGCTAAGGGGTACCAAAATTTACGTAAATAAATTGAATATGAATACCCAAAACAGGCAACCTCCATCAGGAAGAGACACACACAAATGTGATACAGTATTCTGAATTTGCGAAAGTCATTTTTTAGTCTTCTCCGAGTACGCACAGTCATTCTCACAAAGTGCTTCATTTGTGTCAAACGTCAAAACTTTTCTGTAGACCTGTTGCCGTATGGCTGTACTAATAGGTAGAAAGTGATAGAAGTTTTGTGTTTTGCTCGTGTGTGTGTGTTTTGGAGTTTTTCTGTTTTTGTTTGTTTGTTTTTCTAACACCTTAGGAAGCCTTTTGGGTACCTTCTGTTGTACGTTATCTGGTATCGTTACTGTTGTAACAGTACCTATTTAAAACAGAAGCTTCCAGCCTGGTCGTTTTTCATTTTAGTCACTAGGATACGCTAGCACTGATTTTCCGCACAGACGATAATGTGCCAGCCGCAGAATAGTGACTCCATTTTTGTTAATGAGTTTAGTAATGTGTGAAATGCATGATTAGAGGGGGAATAGCTTTGTACCTTTAAGGTTACGAAAGTTGTTTCATTTAGGACAACAGCAAGACTCCCTACAGCGCTTTGGATAACCTTAGGTTTAAATAAGATGATGTCTAAACGGGGCCGATGATTTCATGTCCTTATAGCTAATAATAAAAAGAAGTTGGAGAAAAACAGATACTAGCAATTTCTGAGCTAAAGGCGCTGAGAGCAAAAAGTACGTTCCAGAATAGACACCATTAACGTAGATTGCCTTCTGCCCATTAAGCCCTGTCACTGAGATGTTTTAAACAAGTATTTGTTTCTAAAAGCTGTGTTTGGAAGCTGAAGACTTTAGAGCCACCTTAGTTTTAAAAGCATGTTTTCTGAACCTTCATGAAATGACAGTTTGTCTTAATTTTGTGTTTCCAATTATGCAGGAAATTTGAGGACTAGCTTCTTCCTGCAGAACTTTGTTTTTTCAAGCATTAGGCTCAATTTGGCAGATTATATTGGACAAAAAATAGCTTATAAATGAATTATGTATTTCTAAAGTACAACTGATATCAACTCACTTATAAAATACTTATTATATAAACAGATGTCATCTCATTTACTTACGTAATTACATCGCGATTACTCTCGTCAAGATGCTTATTTGCTTAGAAACTTAATTTACATTCCTGAGTTCCGCAAACTGCAGTGTTTTTTTCCACTGTTAAGTATAATTTAGAGGGACCTTTATTCTCTAGTCTGATCTTGTAAGTTACAAGCTTGGTCTTATTTTGAGCTGGAATGATCCTAAACATGGTTTAACCCTTACGCTTGTATAGGGACGATGGCAAGTCTGGATGAAGCTGACGTCATTAAAATCTTTTAATTTCTTAATGGGTCTCTAATCGATATGAAGTGATCTTTTAAAGCAAGGTTTGGGTACTCTACTGTTGGCATGAGAGAGGCGTTTAGAGGACTCCAGGTTTGGGGAGATCTGCTGCTGCTCTGCAGGAGTCGTTGGCTGGTACAGCCGGAAGCCAGCTTGGGGGAAGGAGTCGCCTTCCGGCACACGGGTTGTCTTCGGAGTGAAGCGTGAAATGTCTGTTTAACAGGAGAGGCAGTGGCTGCCCACTGCACCCATACACCCAGGTCAGCTGTCAGACCAAGGCCTGTTTTGAAACAGAAGGCACTGCCTGTGGAAATCGTATAGTTTGGATGGCTGTTGAAGTCGGACCTAGTCTTCACATGTTGCAAGACCAACATCAGAATTACTCGTATCTCTTGTGTGTGATGCTTCAACCTCCAACCAAGGTACTGAGGGAGGTGGACATGGATGCTGTGGGTGCCAGTTTATGCAGTGCACCTGGGATGCTGTGTAGTGCTGTGACGAGATCCCAAGCCAACCAGAGCTTGAAGGGATCTGCTTAGGACTCTTCTTCCTGTTGCGTTCCTCAGACGTGACTGAAATGCTTTTAAAAACTGAACAAAGCCAGATTTTAGTAGAAGCAAGTCTGGAATACTTAACTTTTTAGGGAGAGGAAATTTAAAGTGACAGTCAGAATAGAAATAGAACGGGATTCTGAATGCCTCTCCTACTTGATCTTCAGGCTTGATCTTCAGGTCCGTCCTTGGTTTCAGCCAGTACAGTGACTTGCAGAGATGCAGCAAACTTTGTTCAGTGGGAATGGGTTGCTAGGAAGTTTGTTCCGTTGCCTTCAAGTTCAGTAAAAAACTGACAAAGGAAGTTCAAAAGAGGCTACTACTAAAAATACGTTTAACATGCACGTAAATAAACGCACAAACCTAATCCACATCTGCTCTTCATTTTGATACCAGAACTAAAGCAATGATTTTGAAAGTCAATTTCGGCTTTTGCATTAGTAAACTAATAGTCATAGTTTGAACATAGTTCCTCTCACTTTCTTTTGGAAAGTGTGGGTTCTTTGGGAGACTGTTTGCGTGTTGTAGAAACTAATGCTTGCAACGTTTTGATTTTGTGATCGTAGCTCTTAGTTTGGAAAAGAAATGTTAGCTTCAAACCAGGAAGCAGTAGTAGTGAGATCAGGTAGGACCTCTGTCAATAGCAAATACTTTTGTCTATGTGCTGAATCTGTGGTCCCCGAACCCTTGTCTTGGATGAGAAAGAGAAAAAAGCGTGGGGTATGGAGATGTT